CATAGATTAATCACATGTGACTTAACATTCAGTCACAAGCAATTTTCTGAATTCATGCATCAAAGGTCAAAGAAGGGTGCCCTGTATCTGTATTAAGCCCCTTCACTTTTCAACCTTGAAATTTACTGACACACTAATAACTGCAAAGGCCTCAGCGATTTGGGAATAATAATAAAAATGACAAGGAGAACATTAACCTGGGATGCAGCCAAAATGCCCACTGCAACTCTGGAGAAACTGCCAAGATGAACAGCTCAGATGGGAGGATCTGTCAATAGAACAGCTAAAATTCATAAGATCTGACTTTCACAGAAGAGCGGTAAGAGAAAAGACATTGTTGAAAGACAGTCATAAGCCTTCCTGTTTAAAGTTTACCACAACCCATGGAGGGCAGTCATGCAGGTGCCCTGGTCAAATGAGAGTGTATGGAAAAGTAAAAAAAAAATAACCAAAACATAAATAATCTTAAAACTAAAACATACAGATCTAAATTTAGATTGGAAGTGCACACATATTCATCCTCTTATTTTTTTTTAAATTATGTTTCTATAACATTTATTGTGTATCTCAGTGTCACTGCCATCTCCAGTCATCACACACCGGCTACTCATTGTTTCATTTCCTTATGACTTCAGGCTTTATATTAACTCTATTCAACAAAAATGTAAGGATATAGCCGCCTACTCTTCTCATGATTTCCTGGTTTTATTTAGCAGTCTGACTCGTCAGGTCTATCTTAAAAAAGGAATCATTCTCTCTTTACATAGTTAACAAGATCATGATTGAAGCTTCAATTTTCAGAATAAATACCATAAATATTTGCTATGAAAATATGGCAAAAATAAAACTTACTCTTATTCATTGTGATGTGGTAGATTTGTGAGGCTTATTTGAAAATATATAGAATATAAATTAAATTAAATTAAAACTCTGTGTCTATTTTTATGATCTATTTATAGATTAAACAACACTAAAGCTTTTAAACAAAAAATATGACTAACATGACAGATTTTTTAGAAGAAAGTTGTGTGTTAACTCAAGAAAGAAAGAAAAGTGAACTTTTAAACATTAAAAGTGACTTTATTAGATAAATGTCAGTTTATTCTTCAGTTGTTTCCTCTTTCACAGTGCGTATCATTCATTCTCCAGAAAGTTTAAGGTTGTAATGTGACAATAGATGAAACAAGTAATAGTGTATGAACACTTTTGGACAGAAGGATCTTAAATAAGAAAACGGGATTCCCACTGCAATTTAAAAAAAAAAAAAAAACTCTTCTACAGTTTTTTTTTCCATTTTTACAAACATTTTGTGAGAAAAAGAACATATAGCATAAATGTTGAAGCTATTAGTGAACTTACTTTGCATGTCCTTAAAGAGTTATGTTGTGTGAGATTTACATCCCCACAGCAAGAAAACATATCTCTGTGTTGCTGCTCTTTTTGTTGTATGAATTTGTAATATATCACTACATTTTGAAGGCTCTCCATAAACTACTTCATCATCATCAACTTGCCTGTCCTTGTGAGATATAGGTCTACTACAAGCCTAATCTTTTAATGGCTAAGTGGTCTCCTCAGTGATGACAGGGTGGAATCGATAAGAGGCACAAAGCTAAACGATACGTCCCGCTGTTTCTGTCTATCTCTCTTTTGACTCCTTTTCATTCTCAGCCCATTTTGCTTCTCCCTCCTCCTGTGTTTAAATTCACAGTATCCTAGGCAACAGTTATTCAATCTCAAGCAGTAGTGAAATGAACGCTGCTTTAATTTGTCTTTATTACTGCTTCGTTGGTCTTTTTTTCTCTCTCTCTCTCTTTCACAATATTTTGCACAAGCTCAATATGAAATAGGAGGCAAGGTTTACAAAATGTCTTTCCATGCTCCAACGGCTTAGAGGTAATCAATGTAAACCGGGGTTCTCAATCAGTGCCACTAATTTACCCCCACCAGCTCCCATCAGGCCGAAATGATGCATTATTCGCCTAATGTCATAGAGTGGCCTCTCAGATGAACGGCTCTTTAATGGACCTTGATGACTGATGGAAATGCAGGGAACATTATGCTTGAGAATGGAATAGATGAGAAAATGTATGAGAGGCGCATCAGACACATCTTGCGCATTTGGCAAAATGAGGCCAGTTGGATTAATTATTTTCTTCACTAGAAATAAAGAAATGGAAGATAATCTAAATGTCTCCAGTGGTGCCTACTTCTACTTTGCACTTGTTTTAGCATAAACAAATAAGCATTGTCATGAGCACCACTAATAATCACGCGTTTTAGTGGAATGCATCTGGAAGCATATGAAAAACCCTCTTACAGTAGACCTTTACTGTTGGTGAGCAGTTCTCTGACAACCCACACAGCATTTTGATAAATGCATGTTCATTCGAAAAGTTTAAATTAAATCTACCTTTTACTTCTGAGCTCCAAGAATATATGCATACACTCATGCAAAACAGCAAATGAGTACATTCCCCTGGGAGAATTATGTAGAGTTGAAAACCTAATTTGAAGCTTGCAGCAAGAGGTTGCACCAGATTATCCCCCAAAGCAGGGCTAGAAAATTGTAGCAATCACTGATTTCTAGCAAAGTGCAGAGTTTTATAACGCTGTGTCACAACTGACCAAATGCCAGCTAAAAAAAAAAAATATAGGAAGCAGGAGAGTGGGGAGAGGAGATGATGGATGTTCTTTCCCATGATAAAAAAAAGTCAACAGTAAAAGAAGTTCAAGAAAAGAAAAAGAAAATAATACAGAATAGGAATTTGGGTTCTCAAGAAGCTTTTATCACATGAACTACATGAGTCGATGCCATCTGTCCATAAGAAAACCTTTGATTTGCTGTTTGATGGTTTAAATGCTTTAATCTGGAAAACAAGCCAATAACATGTCAGGAGCAGCATTACAATAAAAGTGGACAAACTTCTGAGGACAAAACAGAACTCAAGAAAGCTTAATGAAGTAGTATATATTTTTGATTAATTTTGCATATTTAATTTATTTCCTGCACATTGCCAGTTACGCTTATACTATTATTTTCTTGATTTGCTGTAGATTTATTATTTATTTATAGTATTAGTCAGTCAGTTAACCAACACCAGTACATTAGTGTCACTTTTAAACATAATGCACTGTTTCCTGTCAATCAGCCACCGCACATTGTCCACACTGACACTATAAGAGCAGAGGGTTGCTTGATTGATGACAACCCTCATTTGAACACAGATGGGTTTTTGCTAAGTGGTTCTTTTTGGTCTCAAGTATATGCTCAGCAGTGAAGGAGAAAAGAATGTGCTGATTAAACATAATTCAGTGAAGCGTTTTCCTTTGCTGCATACAAAAATGATAATGTTAGTGCCCAAAGCTCTTTAGCATCATGTATTACATTAGGAATACAATTGTTTTTACAAAGTAATGACTAGATGTATGTTTTCAATATGGAGCTTTTAAAAAAACTAAACTTTAAAACGGTAGGAAGTAAGTTAATGACGAAATGATAGTAAATAACTCAAATTTGAATATTAGAATTTTATGTAAACTAGTGTGTTTACATATGTGATGTTTTACCATGTGGTCCAGGTTGTAAAATTGTGTACTGGTATTTTTACATCAATATTTAGAGTTGATTCAGCAGAGGTCTATTCTGAAAGCAGATATAACACGCACACATTTTGATGCTATGATGTAGAATAGGTAAACAGGCCATCCAGACACAATCTGAGCTTCCAGGCTGATGAATGAAATGACTTACAGAGGACACAAGCTCTGTGACACTGATGGACAGCCTGATATCGCCTCCCTAATCTTGCCCCCACCCCTCTCTCTGTCTCTCTCTCTCTCTGTCTCTCTCTCTCTGTCCCTCTCTCTCTCTCATACACACACATCTGCATGCACACACACCCTCACACACACTGATTTCTCTTTCACTTTCATTCTTCACTCTTTTCTTACAGTTTTTTACTCTCACTATGTGACTCACACATTTTGTCTCAGCTTCCTTTTTTTTCCATTTCTTTTTTCTTCCCTTTGTACTTTCTCTCAATTGTTTATCTCCTATTTTCTCCTGTCCCTTTGGCCTTTACTGTCATCTCACTGGAGTTTTTTTCTGATTGCATCTCCATCACCCTCTCCTGCTCTGTCTGTCCCTGTCACACTGTTGTTCCACTCCCTGTCCTTTCTGTCGACAGGAATGCACAAAAACTGCAACCACCACTACTACTTTGTGTGGAGAGCACAAGGTAAAAACAGGCATTCAGCAACAGTCAGATGAACATGAATAAAACATAGTTGTCTGAATTTCCTTCATTGTGTCGAGCATCACACAATCTGAAGACAGGTGCTTTCATTTTCTGCAGAATCTTAAGTCTCATTTCACTGTATTTAATTTAAGCCTTTCCTTTGTCAAATAAATTCAGCCACTGAACATTTAAGGAAATTTAAGAGCTTCCCGAAAGCTATGATGACAGCCCTTCATGTTCTTGCTTAATAATTCTGGCAGAACATTTCACCTGTCTTTTTGCCATAATTAGTAAAGTAAATTTAAACTGTCTGGTTTCAAGCACAGTCCTCATAATTTCCATGCCTGGATCATTCAACATTAGCCTGCTTTTTCCATTTAAAAAAAGAAATTAGGTGTGATTTGGGGAACATTGTCCTCAAAGTCACCAAATCAAGTGATCAAGTTGATCATAATCTGGGAACTGTTGAAACATCACTATTTCTGTCAAGCAAGGTCATCATCAACTTGAACTGTGATTGTGCCAACCTAGAAAGAACAGCCTGTAATCTGGAGCTACCCATATAGATAACCCGGATGCAATTTGGATACATATTTGCTAAATATAGCCTACCACAGACTGAGCAAAAAAATCTTTGAAAGCATCAAAATGAAAAACCTGAGAACACTTTAAAAGCAACCAAATATCAAACAGCATCATTGTGAAGTCAAATCAGAAGAAGAGGAATAGAAGGAAAAATAAATAAAGAGAAAAGAAAAAAGAAACATGAAATAAAGAAAAGACTTGACAGAAAAAAAACATGGCGGAAAAGTGGTTGTTATACCCGGACCATAAAGAGGGACGGACAATGACTGAAAAATTAGAAGTGGCAGGCAAGGCAACACAAAGCAAACAAACAAACAAACAAACAAACCCGGGAGTTTGGTGTAACCTTTGAACATCTGCCTGATACATCTCCAAACAAGCAGAGAGACAGTCGGTAAAACAGAAACTACATTATTATTGTGAGATCACTACTGCTTACATTCTGGATTAGCTTTAGCCTAGCCACCGGCTCGTTAACCTGTGTTGTCATATTGTAGTTGTGAAAACTGTAATATCAATAGTTGATTTAGATGGTTGGAAAGATTGTTGGGTTTTGTTTTTTTTAACTATCAATTTATTAAACATATGGGTAATTTAACTGGGTAAAATATTGTCAGATTAACTTGACAATATTGATATATTTTAAAATCAAAAAGTAAACTTTTGTAAATATTAATTTGAAATGTCTAAAGAACTTAAGTTAGTTAATTGTTCACTTCACTTTGTGGGTTGATGTGCAGTGGTTCATTTTTGTAGTTTGCTCAGTATTATTTTTGCAGACTGTGTAAAATTAATTTATGTACATCCAGAAAGTACAGGTTTGTAATGTTTATTTTTTCTTCTTTTGAAATTGCTTAAAGGTCCGTCCCTGCTTCTGGACCATCTGTGAGAGCAATGTTCTAACATTGGTAACTAGATGGGGGATAAACGGAGACAAATACTTGGTCCTTTGAGTGGAATCCAGTTGATAAAAAACATGCGTTTTCAAGAGGGGAAACTGCACAAAGTAAAGGAGACCATCATGCGGTAAGATTCCTCCATTGCCTCTTGCATTTGTGGATTGCATAATATGAACTGAATGATTAAGAATGAGTACTTCCAAATTTTTGTCTTCATCTCAACTCTCAGGTCTGATATTGATTTACAGTTGCGTGTTCCAGTGAAAAATCATCCCAAAATCACATTGTAACTGGTTATGGGAAGAATTGGAAAGCTTCATATTAGGCTATCTGAACTCCATTAAAATGTATGAATATAGCTTAAAAGCACGGTTCATAACGGGAAACAAAACAATGTTAAAAAAGCTCTACCATTTTTACTCAACAGGATGATCAGATATGTTTGGTGATAGCTACAAAAACAGTGAGGGTGAAATGTTTTCGATTGGAAAAAAAATACATCAGTAAAATTGTCTGCCCCCTGTTTTTCATACTTGGTGATTGTAAACCTCTGCAAGGAAATGTTGGACACATTTTTCACATTGTAGCTACATTTTCTATTTTTTTTAATTCCTTTTCTGGCACACCAGTAAGATCACAGTTTGAGTCTTGAGTATGTTCCAACATCATCAGGCATAAGCCTAAATTTGAATGATCTTGAAGTTTTCTGGTCTGTATGGAGCATTTGTCTATACCAGCTGTAAAGCAGCTTGTTCACCCTGACTTCTTACCTGCCAGCTTTTCTCTCTGCCAGCAGATTAAACTGTTTGCTCTTCAGCAGAACTCGTCTTATGCAAGGAAATAAAAGGATTTTCATTCTTTCCTGAAATATGTAACACTCAATTGAATCTACTGAGATAAAATAATTGTTAATTTTGTCTATCACTGACATAAACTCAAAGTATCCAGATTACTGTTTCTTTAAAGAAAAGTTTTGGGTTTTTTTCCATGAAGATGCTGCTTTTTTCCTTTCTTTTTTTTAACTGTGACTTGTTTCCATCTGACCTGGTTGAGCTGAAATTGGGAGTATTCCTACCCTTCATGGGTTAGTAAAGTGGAAAATAGCGTGGCACTCTCACAGAGCTTGACTGCATCCCACTGATTAGAGCAATCAATCGAGAGATAAAGAGCGGAGGAGGAAGTGCGTGCGTCCATGTGTTGACAGGAGGCTATTGTGACTAAGCAAAATAGACAACCTTAGAAGACTCTTCAACACACTTCACCTTTGTCTTGTACTTATATGAAGTAAAGAAAACAACAATGCATCAGATTCCAGCAAAAGCCCTATCTTTTGCCCAGACTTTTTGCAGTGTCTGCTTTCCAGAGGTCAGTCAGTAGGAAGATTTGATTTGACATTAATAGCTCTCTCTCTCTGTTGACGTACGTGTGATTACCTGTAATGCATTTCGTTCCTACTCCAATAAGTTGTGGCGCACAGGTCAGGGCTACAGACCAGTATAACACATTATTTGAGGAATGAGGCAATGAAATGTTTTCTTTCTTTTTTTTTACTTGAGCTTTGTATGGTCTCAGAATAAAATGTCAGACAACATTATAACATTGTATAACACCTGGAGTTGCAAAGTCTCATTTCACCTTGAATATTACACAAAACTATTTAGAAACTTGTGCTGTGATGTCTGTTGAATTATATGGAAGTAAGACTACGGATCTCGTTTTAAATGCTCTCATTCAACCGAATGACTTTGAGGAGTGTAATGATGCAATCTGAGTTTTTAAAGACAGATGCATTGCAAGTCAATTTTTAAAAGTCATCGATACCCAAAGACTCAGAGACAGACAAATGTCTCCACATTTTCATTACCGTAGCTTGAGTTTATCAGACAGACTCAATTTCCTGACTGGTCTCCCTAAAGCACTGGGAGGCAACACAGAAACATTCAGAGTTTTGAAGCTCTGGTGCATTTTGTGACTTGACAGTCAAGCGCTGGCATGAATTCTGTATGTCTTCTGAGAGCGATATAGTTGCTGGCAAGGGAAGAGAATAGGTTTTGAAGTCAAACACTTTGACTGACAACATATTCAGTCTGTAATAAATCACTAAGGTGACCTTTAAAAGACAACTCAACAACTCTTACAAGTTCAGACTTAATGCAAATACTAAAATGATAAGAAGCAGATCATTTCGAAAAGACGCTCTTAGTTTCCTCGCTGATGTCTAGTGCTTTTAAGAAAATTGCAATAGAGTTAAAAGTTGGGTTGTGACAAAACATTTTCTACCATGAAGAAGTTTCAAGCACCAAGGCCGGAAGTTTATAACTCAGCAGTCATATTACAGTCTTTTTTTGAGTGAATCATTCTACAGAAGCAGTGTTCAGATTGATGTTGAATGATTTATTCTTGGTATTCTGTGTCAGCTACTGTTTTATTGCTGCTGATTCTGACCAAAGTTTTTGACACAGAAGACCAGACTGGATCGACCTCTGGACAGTTTAGCTACTCAGGTCAGATTTAAGACTTTTTGTTCTTTAAATGAGGAGGGACACCTGGATCAAATGGATGAATTGCCTAATCAACATGACAAAGTGACTTTCAAGCACTGGAGTTGAACAATGTTTTACAAATATTAAATCCGCCACTGTATTTTTCAAAAGAACTGTTGGCAAGGTTTCACTTTTTCTTTCTTTTCCATTGACCCTCAATCTCCCACTATACAGTTAAGCCCAAAATGTTTAATGACCATGTCAGATTTTTAAAGCTAAAGTAATTTTCAAGTATATCAAATATATTTCTAACATGTTTTTTTTTTTTTTTTTTAACTGGAGCCAATATCAACAATTTGAAGTCCCAACTACTGAGTCCTGACTTGGATCTAAGAGAAAACTTGTGAAGACAAACATTTGTTTTAAATGAAATGTTGATACAAAGATAAATTATTCATTTTAAAAAATGAACACTCATTTTCAATGCTGAATTATCTATATAAAATAAGCTTCTTATTCAATAATTTTACATTTAACATTATAAGGGGTATGGATACTTTTAGAATTAATTGTATACAAGACAAGAAAATGTTCAGATAATAAGTTAAGTCAAAATTTAAGATGGGAAATGGGCATGTCAATACTTATTTGTAGTATGTCATAATTATTTTATTTCAAAACATTTTTTTAGCCTTATTTTACATGTTTTGTTAGAATTGTTTTTTATTAATATTGCATTTTGAACAAAGTCATTATTATTGTTTAATTTGCACAACCACTTAACAACACACTACAATATTCTGTTCAATCTTGGACTCATTAAAATATAAAATGCTTTCTTCTTTTTTTCATAATGTTGCATTTATTTGCAATGCAGATTACTTCAAAGTTCAAGAGCTAAATCTGACATCAAAGGCAAATCCAAAGTGTTTGCTTCAGAGCAAGATGAATGAGCACAATGCAACTCTGTAATATCTATTAACTAAACAGCATCAGGAATAACAAATATCCTTATCTTCTTCTAGTTTATATTCTCTATTCTTCCATCACGTATTATTACCTTTGTTTTAGCCTGGCCAAAAATATAAAAGGCTACCTGGATTTGGTTTTGCATCACTTTTCGATGATAATCCAAGCACTAGCCAGCATGGCACAGTAAATATAATCAGCATTCTCCCATTCAGTGAAAAATTATTTTAATACATGTTTTATTTTATTGTGATTCTTTTTACAGTTTTTGGCCCAGAACAGGCACACAATGTTTTGTATCACTATTTTTAAACCAGTGTTTTTATTTTTCCCTGTTTTTGGTCAGTTATTAGCTTTGACAAATGAGAAAAAAATAGCATATCAAATTCTGATGATTCAGATAAGTTTGTGTGTTTTGACTCTTCTATTTAATAGTGCCTCATCTGTTCAGCAATTCTAAACACAATGTTAAAGCTTATGAATCTGAAACATGGAATTGTTTTTCTGTATGCTCTATAGTTGTTCAGACTACCCATTTTAGATATGATTAGTGCCCTAATTATGCCCTCATTGGTCATATTTAATTTGAGCATAAAAACATGAACTAATTGTGTGCATATTTAAAGAGACACTTAAAAGCTTTCTCACAATTCTTTAATTCATTACTCTATCCGTCTAATGATTTTGTTCACTGATCTCTGCTTGAAATGTTGAATCTTCCTTTCTTTACTCTTGATCTCTTCTCTGAGTTAAAAATGGATCACTCTGGAGGCATCCTGAAGACTTTTCAGGCATAACCCTAAACCATCTTAGTTTAAGGATTAAGAGTATTAGTTCTACTAATTTCAACTGTGTAGGACAGTGTGTCTTGCATGTGGATGAAAAAATAAATAAATCCATAGAGAAGCACGATAGTAACATTTTGCTGCTTGCTGCTGCCAATCTAAATAATGCTTTTCTCTAGAACCTTATTTTATAGTCTACTGGACATTAATGATAAAGTTTCAAAAATACATTTGATATATTTTAAATTGCATTATGATGATTTTGGTACGCAGCTATTTATCTTGGGGCGTTATTTAGTTTTTCAGAACTGTTTCTGTTTTTGTTTATGTGGATGAAGATATTGCAGAATCATTGGTGTGTTGGTTGAAGAACTTGATAAACACCAGAGGATTAAGACCATAAAACTTGATTATTGCTAGAAAATATGTTTTTATGATGATTGTTTTCTGTTTCTAAATTGTTTCTATTTTGCCCATCGCCCTAAGAATCAATTTATTAGTTACTCAGTTGAAAAATTGTAAATAACTTCAATCAAGCAATTCCAAATGAAATATATAATATTTCATTTGGATATTATGTATTTCACATGCTATATTTGATATGTTGGAACACTCTGACATATCAGATATTAGCTTAGTTTTAAGGTGTTGAAATGCTGAATAAAACGAAAAGACCAACATTAAAGATCTATTGTCCACAGAGTACATGCAAATGAAATTAGTCTGATATGTGGCACAATAATACTATTACGAACAGTAATGAGTGGAGATGATTAATATATGTGTAAAGATGAGATATATCTGCTGTAATAAATAGAACAATTGAAAAAGGAGAATGAGAAGATGAGAAAAATTTACATTTTCATTCCGGTTGAGTTAGGAAGAAATGT